ATTTTGTAGTTTCTAATTGTTGGTCGTTGTCTCTTTTTTTTTTTTTTTTTCTACTATTTAGTTTTATTATTATTATTATTCCATTACTTTTGCTTAATTGCACTTTGGTTTTGTTTTTGGTTTGGGAAAAAGAGAGAATTCTCCCCGGTAGACTCACTACAGACGTGGAGTTCACACGGGCATCCTAACAACAGGTGACTTCTTTGCTGAAGTTATGTGCAACTGTGAAGGTCCTCCACTCCGGCCGGGGAAGCCGCGACCACTGCCATCAACCGATCCACTGCCCATATATCTTGACTACAATGCCACTACCCCATTGTGTGATGAGGCTTGGGAGGCTATGCTGCGCCTGCGCAGTGTGTGGGGTAACCCCAGTTCCTCACACCCGTACGGTATGGCGGCAAAATTTGCCCTGGAGGAGGCACGGAAAAAGGTTTCTGATGCCATACACGCTAAAATGCCTGAGAATATCCTTTTTACCTCAGGTGGGACAGAGGCAAACAATCTTGCCATTATTGGTGGGGCATCAAAAGTTTACGAGCGGGACCCGGCACGTTGTTGTGTCATTGCCACTGCTGTGGAGCACCCTGCCGTGGAGGAGGTGCTAAGTATTTTGCAACATCCAAATCTGCCTAAAATGGAGGAAGGTGGTTTTGTCGCATATCGTTTTCCTGTGGAGGAGAAAACTGGGTGTGTTGATCCTCATACATGGCGCCAACTACTACTTCAGCTTCCAGGGGGACCCAGAAGTGTGGCGTTGGTTTCCGTTATGCATGCAAACAACGAGGTTGGATCAGTCAATCCAATCGGTGAGCTTGTGCAGATGGTAAAAGAGTTGTGTGGGGAAGAAGCCCTCTTTCACTCAGATGCCGCTCAGTCTATTGGAAAGGTTCCAGTAGATGTAAATTTGTTGCAGGTGGATTTGTTGTCCATCTGTTCTCACAAGTTCTACGGTCCCAAGGGGGTGGGTGCGCTGTATGTGAAGGAGGGAGTTCAATTGCAGAGGATTCTATTTGGTGCTGGCCATGAACGCGGCCTTCGGCCGGGCACAGAAAATGTGATGCAGGTCACAGGGATGGCAGAGGCACTTCATCTTGCATGTAGTAATTTGTCAGAAAATGCATCTAAACTGCGAGAGACGCGCGATGAACTACTTCATGTCATTGAAGAGGAGTTAGCAAAGGTTGGAATGGAATATGTGGTGAATGGCGATATCAGGTGCGCCCTCCCAAACACACTTAATATTGCGCTGTACAAGGATGATTATGCAGGGCGCCGGACGTACATATCGGCACAAAGGCTTATTCATTCGGTCGGCGACAAAGTCTGTATGTCTGCTGGATCCGCATGTCATTCCTCAGCCGAAGAAGTTGAGGTTTCTGCCCCGCTGAAGGGTGTTGGTGTAGATCTTCCGCGGGCTGTTGGTACGCTTCGCCTTTCGACAGGACGAGGGACAAGCATGGAGGAGGTGCGACGGGCAGCCCGCATTATTGTGCGGCAGGCTGCACAACAATTTGCCGATATCTAAAAATGAACCTTTTTTTTTTTGGAGTTGCGCTGCGGAACCCAGTCTGACTGCATTCGGCCATTTGTGTAAGAAGGGGAACGGGATGGAACAGCGAAAGAAGGAAAGAAAAAAGATATTATATCTCATTTGGTGATAACTTGGCCCTTTTGCTGCGTACTGCGTGCAGTGTGTGTTTGTATTCATTCCTTCCTCTTTTTTTTTTGGGTTGTGTGTGTGTGTGTGTGTGTTATCCGTCTTTGTTCAGCGTGTGTACATTTTTTTTCTTTTTTGGCTGCGTCCCCCCATGCATTTTTCTGATAGTCGTTTCATGTGAAGACATGAGTGACGGGGGAACCCTGTCCGACGGTAGTGGGGTTGTGTGGGGTGTCGCGCAACACCTCACGGCACGGAGTGGATTTCCCTTTCTGCTGCACCTGGAGGACGCTCAGGTGTGTGTCGACTACCCCGCAACGCATCACCGCTGCTGTTGGACACGTGCTATGTTGCATCCATTGTGGGAGAACTTTAAAGCCAGCTTCGCGGGAGGAGGTCAGACACAACAAGACACCAGTCTTTTCCAACAGGAACCACGAAAGGGCTCTTCTGCCGCCTCTTTACTTGGAGCCTGTAACACCCTCACGGAGCTGTCGCAGTCTATTCACTTGCTATTTAAGCGGCAGCAGCAGCGACCGCCACGTGGAAGTGCAAGCAGGTTACGTTACATTCATCTTTCACCTCCTGTTGTGCGTCTCGGGAAGGGAATTACCGGAACCTTATCGTTTACATTTTCTCTTCGCCGTTGCGAAGATGCGGGTGAGACCACGTCAGCATTATTTCCGTCCTTCCTCGCGGTTGAGGTGTGTGATTCGATTGCTGCTTTTGTAACGATCACCGTGGTGGAGGCCCGACGACGTTCATCTCACTGCAATATGACACTCTTGTTGCTAGAGAGCATAGACAAGGTGGGGAATGTGGCCACGTACAGTGCTTTTGATGCGGAGTTACGCCTTGAGTCCTTGCCGCCATCTTCCTCGTTGTCGTTGCCGTGTGATTTGTCCTTGTCATTTAGTGTCTACGCCGCTTTTTACAGTTCCACGGAGACACAACTTCGCCTTGACGAGCCCTTCATGCACCTCTGGGATTGGAAGCCTAGTATGACGCAAGAGGAGCGTTTTGCCGTTGTGAACCCCAAAATGGACCCTGAAGTTGCCTTCTCCTTGGAGCGACGGCATCGTGCAAACATGGAGCGTCGCATCCGTGCCGCAGTAGCTCGGATGGATGGTGTTGGAGATGCGGCGTGTTTGAATGGCTCGTCGTCATCGTTTTTGGGAGCCAAACTTTGTCACATTGCGACTGTGGAAACGTCTCGCGGTATTGTGATGGAGCCATGCACACAGCCGGGGAACAGTACGCTTGCAGCGGTGATGCCGAGATACATTGTTTGGCCTCTTCAGCTTCTGGTTGCTGACGCTGGAGGTAAAGCGTGGCGATCTCCTCCCATCGCAGGCTCTTCATCCTTGGAAAGGCTTGCGTGTGAAATGGGTTACCTGGAGGGGCGGAGGAGTGGCGTGGATGGTAATGCTTCGAATCTTGGAGCCGAAAAAGACGGCGGAGTCATTCATCATTTTTGAGTCTTCTTTTTACTTTATTTTTGGTTGTATTTTGCCTATATATATATATATGTGTGTAGGTGTGTTCCTCATAGACTTGTTTGGTTGTTTGCGTCGCGTTTGTCCCCGTTGTTGTTTCCTGCGGCTGCCTCTCTCTTGTCGTGGCCTCACAAAGTGATGGAGTGGCTTCTCCTCCGTTGTCCTTCTTTTGGTTTTGCGTTGCCACACACGCAGTCAAAGCTGCCCCTTCCGCTTCCGTTTGTGTGCGTCACCACTGTCAACCTGATAACACGTGGTGGGTAGTGGGGGTGGGAAGTGTTTATCGCAGGAGGGAAGGAGTAAGCAAAAGAGGAGGCTATAACAATTAAAAAAGAAACACCAAGAAAAACGATAATGGTATGGAAAGCGCATTCATTCCACCTCAAGGTAGCGGCATTGTCAATGGTGCTAGTGAGTGAGTCTATCTCTTCGACGTCCGTTCTGCCTTTTGTAGGGCTTTTCGTTGCGAAGCTGGAGAACGTCTCCCCCGAAGAGGCCGGTTTTCTTTCCGGTATTCTTGTGTCGGTGTTTCAGCTGGGACAGATCCTCACAGGGAAGATGTGGGGGACGATGAGTGACAGGTTTGGGCGTAAGCCCATCATTCAATTGGGTCTCTTTTTCAGTACAGTTATGGCGGTCTTTTTTGGGGTGAGTCCAAACATTGAGTTCTGCATCTTGATGCGTTTCCTGCACGGGTGCGTTAACGGCAACGTGTTTGTTGCCAAAACGGTCATTGCCGATATAACGGATAGGACGACGGAAAGCATGGGGTTTGCCACCATCAGTCTCTTCTGGGGAATAGGCTCTATGGTGGGACCTACATTGGGAGGGCTGTTGTACGACCCTGTGAAGAATCCAATGTTGAAGCACTTTTTCTCTTCCGACGATCGCATAGCGGAGTTTTTTATGGTTCATCCTGCATCACTTCCCATGTTGATGATTGCCACTTTCTCCACCTTGGCGTTACTTTTCACCTGCGTATTTCTCCCTGAAACAAGCAAAAATACGGTGGATCCATTGTTGTCACTCTGTTGTGGCCGTCACACCACCGCTGTACAGCCTGTGGAGATCGCGGAAGACGGAAAGTTGCAGGAAAAAGAGGATATCATGGCATTTACCTTTGCTGAAGAGACGGATGGTGTACTTCATGAAGGAGATGTGCAGTCTTGGAAAGTAAGTCGTGGCGGGGCAATTTTTGTAGAAGAGGAGGCATTGCAACAGTCCATTTCTGTGGAGACTGTCTCCATGGGGCAAGGGATGCGCAGTCGGAAGTTGGAGAGCTCATTGGAAGGTCAGGGTAATAGAGAAAATAAGTTGAAGTCTAATTTTGGCTACGGCGAGGCCATGCAATCTCCAAGCATGCAAAAGGTGTTGATAATGTACATGTGTATCGCCTCGAGTGAGTGTGCCTTGTTAGAAGTTGTCCCACTTTGGTCGATTGCTTCAGTTGAAAAAGGTGGCCTTGGTCTTCAGTCGTCCGATGTGGGTTGGTTACTGTGTATAGCTTCTATAGTTTGCGTCATTGCAAATCTTTGTTTTGATTTTTTATCGCAGTGTGTGCGAAACAATCGGCTTATTTGGGATGCTAGCATCATAATATGGGTTTTGGCCTCTGTAGCTCTGCCTTGTACAGTCTTTTTCCCTCGTCAGTGGATATACACGAGCGTTGCAGTTTTAAACGCCATTCGAGAGGTTGCGCTGTCATGGAATTTTGCCTTAATTTACCTCTTGGTTGCTCGATCAGCACCGAAGGAGCATGTGGGGTCACTGAATGGAGTAGCCCAATCTGTCGGCTCATTATCGCGTATGTTAACAATGCTGGCAGTTCCCCCGTTATTTGCATTTTCCATTAATAACGCGTACCCCTTTCCTTTCAATCATCACTGTGTGTTTTGGCTGACCACGTTGCCCCTTCTGCTGAGTTACATCCTATCCACGTATCTTTCACAATCCGTATTGGGTGGTTAGTTGCATGAGATGGACGGGGGGGGCGTTGTGATCGGGCTGTGGGGCAGGTAATAAATTTTTGTTTTTGCCAGGATGGCAAAGTAGGTCGCGCCTCTCTGCTGAGTTTCTGGGGCGTTGAAGAAGAGAGGGGAGGGGGAGGAAAGCGTACTGCGATGTCCGTTCGTAAGTGGTACGGAGGCGTAAGCTTTGAAGCCAGCGTATTTCTTTCCTTTTTTTTTTTTTTTTTTTTTTTTTTTAGGGGGTCAACCCTCACCGTGGGGATATATTTGTGAGTTTTTTTACAACAAGTTTTTCCTGACTGATTTATCTCGTATTATTATTTGGTCGCTGGTGCGCTAACCTCCGAAGAGCGTCTTGGCCTTCTTATTGTATGAATCAATACGTCACCCAGAGGCATTTATGACACACGGACGGAAACACATACATATATTTTGCGGATTGGACATCTGTGTATGTCCTTCTGATTGAGCTTTTTTTTTTTCGTGACTGTATTTGGCGCCGTGCTCGTTTGATTGGTGCTTTTAACTCCGTTTTCACTTCCACTCTGTTTTTCGTAGCTTGCGAATGGGGTGTGCGACAAGATGGAGCTAATTCGATGGCTTATTTGTTGAAAAGTGATTCGGGTGTTGTTGTGTTTTTCTTTCTTATGCAGCCCCACACACAAAGCCTCCTACCACCATTGTTTACGATCCGTGTGGAAGGGTGTCTGATGGGTGCAGGCTTCCACTGGGGCCCGTCACTTCGCCAGTCTCCAATGCACCTGATCATTGTAGCAAAGTCCTTTACGAATTATCTTGTCTTTACATGGTGTGTTTCCCTCTCTTTGTATTTGGGGAGCCTTTGTTTACGGGGTAGATGTTGGGCGTTGTGGGCCAAACGGAAACATCGCTTTGTCGCCTTATTTTCGTTGTAGGAATAGAATGTGCAGGGGCCCCTACCCAGCGATATATTATTGCTCTCTCTCTCTCTCTGTGTGTGTGTGTGTGTGTGTGTGTTTCACATTCTATGCACAGGGATGTAGTAAAGAATACGTGTGCTGAGGTGAAGCGCACTTAGGCTGTAAAAAGGAAGGCGGGTAAGTGGTGATAGAATGAGAAGGCAAAACAATACTGGAAATTGAAATTAAAATTAAACATTTCTGTATATAGAAAAAGCACGGGAATCATGTGTTGTTGTCTCCTTTTCCGTGATTTTTTTGTTGGTTTGTTGGCGAGGCGGCCTCTTCTATTTCCTTGTCGTGTTTTGATTTTCTGGAGCTGCTGCTTTGTAGTGGTTGCATGCGTCACTGCCCTCTATCGGCTCTTTACGCGCACACACTTTTCCTCTTTCTTTCTTTCTCTCTCTCTTTAGACATAGTGAAAGTTGCAGGTCTGTTTTTTTTTTTATCCTGCTGCCTGCATTTGTGCGTTGGAAGCGGGGAGGTCGTCTCTTTTTTGTTTTTGTTTTTCTGGGAAAAGTAATTGATACATAAAGAAAGGGAGAGCCGAAAGCAGGGTATTCTTCATTGGAGAAGCATAGAAAAAAAAATCGAAACAACGAGGAAAAGAAGAACGAAATTAAAAAAGGCGAGGAAATGGGACAGCACGGATCTTGTGTCAGTATCCTTTTTTCAGGAACGCTCGTTGCCTCATCAATTGCTCTTCACACACTTTTGACGCGGATTCTTCCAGTAGATGTGGTTTTTTACGCTCCTGCCATTACATGGGGCTTTACCTGTCTATGTCTGCAGAAAGCAATAAGCCACGCTTACACGCTGATGCTTATGGCACACTTCATTTTGGCCTCTGCTTGCTACTGGAAACTCGGCACGTCAAATGCCGTTTTAAATCGTGTTCTTCTTTACCCACTTGTGGGGTCAGTGATGGCCTTGGTCTCTGCTCGCTACTTACCCGCTGTACCAAGCCATGGGATGGCTGCAGTAGCACTACTACAAGGATGGTCTATTGTTGGATGGTTTTTGATGGCTGTAGTATTTCCTGCAAGTATTATTAGCAGCATTGAGCCGCAGGAAGTGCGTGGAAAGCGTCTGGAAAATTTTATGCGTCAACCTGATGGAAGGCGTGTGGAGTCGCTCACTGTCCCGTCAAGTAATGGCGTTAACTTGGATGTTGTAGTGGTACAAACAGAAGAGGAGACAGATCGCTGGATAATTTACTTTGGTGGAAATGCAGAGATGATTGAGGACACAGTGGAGGAAATGTCTGGTCTGACAGAAATAGTTCGGGGCAACTGGGTTTTCTACAATCCACGAGGGGTTGGGCGCAGTAGTGGGTATGCTGCAGAGGTGCGGGACCTTGTAGATGATGCGGTGCATGTTGTCCGCCATGTCTCTAGCCGGTATTCGATACCTCCAAAGAAGCTCTTGCTTTGGGGACATAGTATTGGTGGAGGCATCGCGGCAGCTGTGGTGCGGCGGGAATGTATGGAGTCTCCCCTTCTGTTGGATCGAACGTTTTCAAGTCTTTCAGACGCAGCTGTGGCGTTTTCACCCTTGTATGCGACTTTGACAAGACTACTGATTCGATATACGACTGGGGATCTTGACGTGGTTGCTGATTGCAAGATGGCAGCAAGGAACAAGAAGCTGGTGATCTATCACCGGATGGACGAGGTCATCGCGTATGACGTCGCCTCGTTGGGTCGAAAAGATGTTCTTCGTGAGTTGCGTGTGAAGGAAGGAATGGTGGTGGAACTGCATGGAGCACGTGTACAGTCACCTCATAACAGCCTTTTGTCTGCATTTGAGGAAAGAATGACTCTGTGTCGCTGCGTTTCTGAGCTTTTTCGATGACTGCAACGCGATGTTTCCTCCTTTAGCTGCTCTTGCGCAATTCTCTACTCGACTCTCTACTGTTTGCGAGCTCGCAGTGTGTGTGTGTGGAGGGGGGAGGCGCGAGTTCATGGATGTGATATATATTGCGCTTCTAGGCGTAACAAACTTGAACCGCTTCTATTTGGTTTCCATCTTGCTGATCCTCCACCCCACCTCCCACTGCGGCTTCGGCTGGCGGTAGAAATTTGCGTTATTCTTTTTTTTCTCTCTCTTTATTTTTTTGCTTGATTGTTGTTGTGTTTTTGGTTATTTGTGGGGGTCCTTCAAATACCTCTGATAAACAGATACACCTGCGCCTCTGCCAGTAACTCGCTGTGGGTGTGTCTGTCAAACTTCGGCACCTTCACGGCTCTACGAATAGTTGCGGGTAGAGTAGGAGAGAAAGAGAGAGGGACATGACGCTGGCTGGTCAACCTCAGGAGTCGCCGCAACAGTCTGCTGAGACGGCAAACAATAATGCTGTGGACGTCAATACCGCCCTGCCGGACCTAGAGGGGCCTTTTAAGGAGGTGCTGACGCGCTCGCTTGAAGAGGTTCTTCAGAAGCGACCGGCAGATCCCATTTCTTTCCTCGCCGATCACCTTTTAGAAAAGAGCGACGGTCATGAACTGGAACAGCATGAATGCCTGGTGGCCAACAACATCCACTGCATACTGAGAAAGGCTTGCACGCGCAAAAACGGGGCCGGTGTCTACCAAGTCCCCGGCCTGCCGTTGCTGCAACTCAATACACCCACTGCCTTCGAGCTGGATGCGGCACTTCGACACCTCGACACACTCACACCTCCGAATGCGGAGGTTGTTGTCTTTATTGAGTTGCCTAGCCCACCAACGGACCTGTTCTTTCTGAAGGGTGTGCCGTACCTCACGAATATCACAGAGCAACTTCTTCAGCGCCGACGTGGGGCAACTGATGCCGGGTTGCTTAGTGATGATGAGGAGAAAGAAGAAGAGTGTGTGGGATCTGCTAAAAAGGTTAAGTCTCTCCTGTGTGATGCTCTTAACGTGGGGATTACAACCCTGCAGGAGGAGGTGGCTGCAGTGGCCACGCCTGCGTCGCGGTTCCGCGTGGTCGAGTTGCCGGTAGTGCAGAGTAACTTTTTGGATGTGTTTGAAATCATTGATGGGGCACTTGGTATGCGGAAACACTACTGGGATGTTCGGAGGACCGCACATGCGGAGGTTCCCTCTGCGGTGTTTGCATCTTTTAACCCGAGGATGTCTAACATGACGTTTTCAAGAATTATTGCAGCCATATTGCCACTTCATGAACAACTGCAGCGACGCAGAATTGCGTCCACATTGGACATTAATAAAACGCGTATTCGCCAGCTAAACTTTAGCTACGTCACGCAGTACTGGAGAGAGGTGCAGCAGCGGCGGCGCAAACGAGATCAAGAACGAGCCCAGTTAAACGCCTCGCTCACGCGCAGTGAAACTCCCAAGCAGCAACGTTCGCCCAGGATGATGAATTCATCAGTCAAGAAGTTGAAGAAGGCTCCCAATGATGTTTTAACCGCACGCGTTAGGAGGCGGGAAAATGAGGACGCTATTTTCCTGTGTGTATCGCAACAGCTGCGGTCTCAGGCGGCAATACGCATTCAGGCTCTTTACCGAGGTTACCGCCTTAGAAAGAACGTGCCCACATTACTTCCACCGTGTGAGCCAGTTACTGACACGGCATGCTGGGTGGAGGATATACCCGCCTCGGTGCCAGCACTTCTGCGGCGAACCGTGGAGCATCTGAGTAGAACGCATGGGGAGCTGTTTGGAAATTATTGTGTGTCGTGCCCACCGTCACCGCGGTGTGTCACTGTTCTGAAGCCGTCTCGTAAGGTGCTCAAGAAGGAAGTGGACAACGACGTTGACAGTGAGACGGAATCATGGGAGGAGGAATCGGTGATTTTGCCGTTAAAGCGACAAACACGACCCCCTCCACACTTCAATGTTCTTCGACGCCTCATGGAATGCGAGTTTTTGAGCAGATGCAACACCATTGACTATGCTCTTTCCATTCAGCTGGACTGCAGTGGTCTTTCCGTGCTTCAGCGGCACGCCTACGACTGTTACAAGTCATCGGTGCTAAATCTGATGCACATTGCCTTTTTGGAACTCTATCACCGTGATATGTTACCTGCGACTGTACTGGGGTTTTCTGAGTACATGCAACGCCTCCACAGGCCTGTGTTTGGTTGGTTATCGGCACCACACCTCTTCTCCCGCATGACGCTTCACCGCTCCGAGGACAATGCACTTGTGCCTACTGTTTTCTGTGAGAGGGAAGTGATGGAAACAGAACGTGTCTTGCTCATCAGGGCGTATGGAGTAGGTGCCCTATTTTCTCCTTCATGCTCACTTCGATTAGAGCAACAGGAGTCATCCACTCGAGAAGAGCAATGTTTAGATGATCTGTCGCCGCAATTGCTTCCCACGACTACTGCGGCGGGTTCACGTGATGTGTGGGTTTGTAAGGAGGTGCACGCGGCGCCAGCATTCCTCTCAGAGCTCTTCTGGGAAGCGGCTCTGCAGAACGCATCTCACAGCCTTCGCGAAAGCAAAGTGGCATGGTGGAGCCTTCAACCTGATCCTGCTGTTTACATCAACGGGGAACCGTTGGTGAGTGTTCCACGGCACGAGCTGCAGGAAGTGCCGGGTCGACCTCGCTTTGATGAACATGTTGTACGCATCGAGGAGACGAAGCAGGGTTTGAAGGCGGTAATGCAAGTGTCACCCAGCAGAGCGGTGAGGGGAACTCCCCGTGCGGATCCTTGGCACAGCAGCTACGGTAGTGTGGGTGATGGCTCTTCTACAACCACCTTGGAAGGAAAGGGAGTCGACGAACCCGCAGCCAGCATGCGTCCACCTACCGTGGATGAAGCGTCGTACATCTCCACCTTTGGTGGCTCACTGCTGTGGGAGGACGTTCATCTGGCGCAGCTGCTGAACCAGGACATAAGTCTTTATCCCGCGGAATGTCTGCAGGCGTACTCAACTGTGAATGTGTCAGAAGGACAGTATGGAGTCCCCATTGTCCACGCCAGTCAACAACCGTTGGTGGTGGTCCCTATAAGTGAGTGGCGATGGAGGGCCAGCGGCTCACTGCACGACAGTTCATACCTCGCTGGTACGTCGGGTTCAGGGGATCGGTCGTTTCGACAATCTCGCTTACAGCTGCGTGAATCGTGGTGCAAAGTTATGGATGCCTCCAAGAAGTGTTTACCCTTAGTTGACAGATATCAAATGTCGTGGGAAGCCTCTAACATTGCTCTCTCCCAAAGAAACTCCTTTATGTCACCGGGAAGTACTCTTAGACATGACCGAGAACCTCACACAAACTCTATTTTAGTCAGTGAGGCAGAGACAGTTGATGCTGTGGCACGCAGAGTAGCCGAGCACGTGCTGAACGAGGGGAATTTTGTGCATGAACGTCCCTGGATTACGCCCGTGTGTGGCCGGGCGTGGGTAACGGTCTTTGAACAGTTTGTGTTCAAATGTCTTTCCCAGTTGCGTGAAGGGTACACCATTGTCCTTGCGGTCGGTGATCCGTCGCAGTTGATGCTATTTAACGCGCTCTGTTTGCTGAAGCACTCCATGCAGTCACAGAAAGTAGCGCCCGAAGAGCCCGTGGACACCGCCTGCTTTGGATTGTTTCCTAAGAAACGCCCATTTTTGGAAGCTACTTCTCTCTTGTCGGATGAAACGATCTCGCGCCTCTCCTTCATGCATGGCTTCTACAAGTGCGTGGGCGAACTTGTGAAGCACAGTGATGTCTCAGTGGCGGAAATAGAGTACGTGGTGCTGAAGGTTATGCAGGAAAACTCTCCTGGTGGGCTGGCGTTCGTGAATGAAATTTCCACGCTCATGAAAAGCGCTGAGCAGGAAACCAATTCCCGCATCTTGGTGGACACTATTCTTGCCATTGTGCAACGCGTGGAACTTTACTGCTGGTTGCTTCTTTTCCAGGCCTTTCTGACCTCTCCTGCTGCGGCCAGTGTCTTTGACGAGCATGACACGGTGGTGTTTCCTTCCTTTACTGCATTCGTAGATGACACCGCCCTGATTGCATGGATGGAGCGCATTGATCCATGGATAAGCACCCCCGGGAAGTCTCCTGATCCGTTTCATCTACGATACAGCAATGGGCTGCGACGCTGGGATGATCGCAACTACATATTTTCTGGTGCTCTCTAAACTGATTCGGTTGCGTTGTATAGACTGCGATGTACATAAAGAACACTCGATGATGTATGCAACCTAATTTTCTTCATTGCTCAGGCTGCTTTTTTTCTATTGGCGTAGGTGCGTCGTGTGTGCGTGTGGAATGAGAAAGGAGGGAGGGCGGGCCGCGTACGCAGTCTCTCTCTCCCCCACACTTGGACACACACACACAAAGATGGAGAGATGGAAGCACGGCTTACGCACGCTGGTGCCCCGTTCAACAGGGACCATAAATTATTATTATTATTGTTTAAAATATGTGTTTCCATTTTTTGGTTTATACTTCTTTCTTACGCACCAGCCTAGGTGGTTTTCCTCAAATGTGGTGGACACTGCGCCTCTTGCAGCAGGGAACTGGCGCGGCCTCACTGTCGTCTCTCACCGAGTCATGTGTCACACGGCAGTTAACCACAAAAAACATACGAAGACCAAAGAAGGTGCAGCGGCAAATGTGGATGGACCGGATGAAGAAGCGTCGACGAGAACGCGCAATGATGATTGCCGCACAGGAGGAAGCTCAAAAGGACCTCAATGAGCAGCCCCACTTTGAACGGCCGCGACCTTATTATGGCGCAACTTGCCAATGAAATATTTAGCCGAGGACACAAGCATGTCTGCTGTGCGACAAACATTTCGTTTGTGCCGGATGGCAATCCTGCCATGCC